CATGTGAAGTTTTTTTTTTCTTAGAATAGGTCCGAGAATCACCTCCTTAAATATTAGCATGTCATTAAGGAACATCCTGTATAGAGTTCTAAGTTGTAGCCTAATGTGCCCAGTGGGTTAATATGTCACTGGAGTAATAGAGTTTAAAAAATTAAAGAAAGCACTATCTGTATTTTTGCAAGGGTCTCCGTTAGTTAGAGAAACAAACAGAAGCCCACTCTCAGATAATCAGGAAAGTCTTTCATTTATGCCCCTATGAATTAACCATAAAGGAAAAGCGAGATAGAACGTCAAGATGGCGTCGAATATATCGACTGAATGGGGGTTATTTCCAGATTAGAAAGATATACAGGGGGTTTGATAAATATTGAGGTATATTTAATAGAAAGGGTTTTGTAAAAATACAGGGTGATTTAATTAGTAGAAAAGAAGAACATTTACGTTATATCAAAGCTATATTTTATTACATTTTTGTCTACGTATTTTTTACAAATAGTTCTTTACCATGTGCAAGTAACATAAAGGGTACCCAGCTACAAACAGTACTGTCTTAGTACAAAAACGCCATGACATTAGAATACAGTTTTTGAATATTTGATTATTGAATATTTAGTAAAAGTAAATCATAATTTTGCAAATTGTGAAAAAACCCGTATTTACGAGTAGTAAGACTTATAACAGTGCAAATATTATTAGATATGACAGTATAAATTACTACTACTGACAATTTTAAATGATAATGAAATTGCCAAAAAAATACTAACACGTAAAGAAGGGCGTAATTACGTGGTTGCTGGGTGCAATAACTTTCAATAACTCAAGTTTGCCGAATATTCAACTATCCCGAATCAACTTTTTATAGTTTCACAATTTCGCGAACCGATTTGATCAAAAGCAAAAATGAATTCAAGCAGTTCGACGAAACAAGTGAGTAAACAAAGTGCTCATTACATAATCAAAAAATGAAATAGACATATACTATGAGAGCATAAAATATAATTTGCAATATTATTATATTTGCATATTATAATATGGTATACTCTTGTTTTAATCAACTAGTGCTTAATTTTTTTAGAAATATCTTCTAAAATTATAATTATGTATCTTCAAAAAATTTTGTTATAGCCGAAATAGCCCAACCCATATAGCACGTCCAAATGAAATTACGTTTCTACAAGGGAGACACATGAGAAAAAACATATGTTAAAGTGAACCTAAGTGTTCATCTAGTTCTAACAAATACATATGAGATACACGCAGGTGTATATTGATAGAATTGTGTGATACAGTGTTGACTGGTTTTATACCGTATGAACTCAAGATTCTAAAGAGCTTTTTGTAACGTAACAAATAATTATTAAAATGATGAAATCTGACGTCGGTATATGAAACATACAATGTATAAGTCATATGTATGTGTGATACTTCGTGTCATAGTTGTGCCTATAGTACACACCTTGTAAAAATGTGACGTACACACATAATATAAATATCTATGTAGACACTTTGTGAGAGAGATTTTAAGGTAAGTACAAGTTTTTAATTACCTTGTTACACCTTCCTAAGAGTATTATTAATATTATAGCAGCGACTTTTCCCTTACTCGATGCCCAATTTACCAAATTTTGACTCCAATGAATGAAAACTCCAAATATTCTCATATAATGATAAAGAGGTTAGCTGAGTTAGCTCTGCAATATATTTTTTTTTTAATCTGGAAATAATAAAAATCTAAATGGACCAGAGAAAGAAAGATTTAAACACTTCAAAGAACTTCTTACACTGATATTCGGTAAGTTATTGATGGATCAATATACAGATATGTTTAATATTCAATAATCATATAAAATTTAAGGGTGAGATTGTTAATCTGGAAATAAAATACAACAAAGTCCAACAGAGTGCTCGATGAATGAGTATGATAATAACCAACTGCTTGGAGGGAAAAGAGGAGAAAAAAATGACTAAACGAGGTCCACCAAATCGTGGCGATATACCAGTGTTTACATTTTAGTATGTTGTTATACTAGGTACTTATATTTTTAATATATTTTGATACAAATTCTGTCCTTTTACAGTGTTTTCTTACTTCTGGTTTCTGCAGTGTAAATAATTATTATTATTGTGTTATTTGCGCTATTGCGTTCCATGATATAAGGAAATATAAGAATTTTATTTTTTAACCACTTAATCCATTTTATGGAAGAAAAATGGTACATTTAATACAAAACAAAAATGGAACAATTTTAAGGCTACTTCCCTTGAACTTACGATCGAGATACTTTTGGAAAATACAAAGTTTTGCATTCCTAATTTTCGTTCTAAGAAGATATAATTGCTATCACTGAATAAATATTTCTTAAAAAGAACGAAAAGTTAGGCATCAAAACTTGTATTATTTCCTAAATTCGTTCATAAGAAGTAGTTTTATCTAGCACAAGATCGAAGCAAAATACATACGTATACACGAGGTAGTCACAACTGCAATGTGTAAACAGAGTTTAAACGTAATACACAAGCACTGTGTATCCTACGGCACACTGTGTATCCTTTACTTTGTATATACGTAAATGCTATACTGTGGCTACATTGTGAGGCGGACGTTTAACCTTTGTGCATACGTGTTGAACTACAATGTGTAAACGTAGCATATTTACATCGGGGGAATTGTGTCACCCTGTGTCTGCATCTAATAATGCATACACATCGTAAATGTTATTTGATGTGCTGTATGGGAAGTTATGTCCGAACTAGCAAAACCGGTGCGTAAAACTATGCTCGCTACCGTAGTTGAACTCAACTAAAAAGTTTTATTAGTTTCAATCATAAATTATAATACAAGTTAGACCTTCTGAAGATATCAAAATATTTACTTTTTTATTAATATAATATTACTTTTTTTAGAATTTTCACAAATTATTCTTCCTAACACTTTAAACTAAAATAATTATATAAACTTTTTTTCGTATAGTCTTTATTTAAACCCGTGTATTTGTATATATCGATTGTTGACGATATTCTCCGATGGTGGCAGCACTGGCAGAGAATGCACCAAGCCTATATGGGACACCGCGATACCGCTTGATATATTTTCAAATGAACATTGAAATATACTTATTCTTTCGAATTATATTTGAGAATATAATTCGAAGGAATAAATTATAGAATTTTGGTTAAGATATAAGGTTTGAAGTACAGCTATCTCCTTCCATTAATCGTGCGAATTTTATTTTCATTCAAAAATTAGATAAGTGTATCATAATTTTCAAATTATGAAAAACACAGTTGCAAAGAATAATTAAAAGTATAAATTGTCTCATAATTTAATTGTCTCAAATTATAAAAAACGAAATTGCATAGAGTAATTTTCGACAAATATTAATGGGTATAGTAATGATTCATGATCTGGCGACTATTTTAGACGACTATTTTATTTCCACAAATTTAATTTATATAGCTAATTTATATAGGTAAGTAGAATAATAATAATATAATTATTAGAATATTAAAATTAAATATTGGCTAAAATGAAAAACACACATTTTACCTAAATATTTTAGCTAAACTAAAATAAATATAAATAAACGTGGATGAAATCTCATTTGGTTTATTTCCTTGAGTTCATAATAGGGTTTGCGACGAAGAAGCTACAGAGAGTTCGCTTAAGTTGCCGCTTAAACGTAAACTTGAGCGGATATCTCTTTATACCGGAGTTAGCGTATCGGCTATAAAAAAATTCACACAGAAGATAAAAAAAGGCTGGAAACTAACCCCGATAAAATGATATCCAGCTCTGGAAAGAAACGACCACGTGAGACTGCTGTTGAAAAGCTCGACGACTTTTTCCAAATGGTCAGGAATTTGATAAATAGATTTTATCTCGAATTCAAACTCGTCCCCACAATTAGAAAGTTTTTGCAAAAATTGCAGGAAGAATCGAATTTTCCTTTGGCAGGGAATCGCTTAGGGGGTTATTAAAATCAAATGAATTTTTTTGGCGTAAATGTCAAAATATCAGATAAATATTAGTGGAGCGGCCCATTAGAGAGATATAAATATATACGCAAAATTCGAAGATATAGCCAAATATTATCTATTTGGATGAAACATATGGGTAGACAATGACCTAACCTTTAAAAAGTGCTGTAAACAAATGTAATAAAAGTGTCTCATAATTTTTCAAATTGTGAAAAACATAATTGCAAATAGTAATCCTGTACAAATATTATTAGGTATAAATTGTTCGTTAAAACATGGTTAGTGAGGATTCAAGATCTGAGCTATTTCCTTTTATTAAACGACGGCAGTTAGCAGATGAATATTTTATTTTTACAAAAAAAATAAATACAAGTGTCTCATAATTTTTCAAATTATGAATAACATTATTTGTTATATCAGCACAAATTATGTGGCAACAGTAGTTTGGTGTTACAACAGCAAAATAAAACACTAATTTACCACAGTACACCAAAACGCTTTAACTTTACGTATATGATACACTTTAAATTTTCCTTTTGTAACATCAAAGATTTCAGCCCTAACTGTGTTTTTTAATAAATGGGCTATTTTAGGGATTGTACCATAAATAAACATATAACAGTAGGAGAAATTATTATTTTAACGAAAAAATATGTTTAGCAAATAGAATATTTTAGGGATTGTGCTATAAATAAAAATATAACACTAGGAGAAGTTATTATTTGTCAATAATCCCTCTTTTTAATGAAAGAAAAAAGCAAACTGCTATCGAAGACTGTTTTTCCGAATAAGAAAAACGTAAAATAAAATCGAAAAGTTTAAACGAAAACGTTTCACTCGTCTAATTTAACCAATCAACGGGATTCACTGCCCAAACCACCCCACTTCCACCCGTCATCTCTTTCTCCGTCAACTTCCCCTCCCGCTTCATCGTCCCCACCCCCCCTGAAAATCTCCACAAGGTAAAGAGGGGAAGGGGTAAACTCCACTATGGAAGTTTATATAAAGGAGGTGCACAAATCCATTCTATGTAGTTTGTATCAAATCTGCTTTAATTCTGTCATACCTCTGACCGAGTGTATCTGATACACTTTGAGTTTATTAATTGTTGTTGATGACGGTGTTTTATATATTCAAGTTTAATTTTTGCCTAAATAATTAATTGAAAAGTTGTTTATAACATATTATTTGTTTGGGGGTAGTAAAATTGGTAATAATAAAAGTAAAAAGGTATTATGAGTGGATCTGGTAAACCTTTGTTGGGTTTGTGGCTATACAGGAGTGGTGAAGAATGGAATTACAAAGAAGAGAGTCCCATTGCTTTGAAGAGTCAGGTAATTCAATTAAATTGTATTGAAAAAAAATATATTTTTATTGTTTTTTGCGTACTATAAGAAAAATAATTTTTTTATTTTTCTTTATTATTGGTATATTATTCATGTTATTATTTAAGATATATCTATTATGTCTTCTCTAGAACTTCAGATGGTAGATGTTGATAAACTTTATTTGAAATACCACGCACTTTGTTTAAATACACTCGCCGGCACGAAAAATGGGCACCTTAAAATTTTCATGTATTTTAAAGTTTTATACAGGTTTTTACACATATACAGATGTTTCACACAAAATGTGCCATCTCTCGTGGGGAGATTCCTCACGTAAAAATAAAATTTATTTTTCATATCGACCTAGGTCCGATTCTGCTTTATTTCGTAGCTACAGGGTGTTAAAGTGTTGATAATCTTTCGATTTATTATAATTATCTTCTAAGAACTTTAAGTGATTCGAATGAAACTTTGAGGGTAAAAGTTATTATAAGTGCTACATACTTTAATGCTAAGAAAGTGTCGATAAATTCATCAGGGACGTGCATATGGGTTATCACTGGAATATTTTTCAAAAAAAACATGTACGCCGCTGACTTTTTTCTTTTGAGGTCAAAATTGTGGTAAAATTAATAAATTATATATTTTACCTAATTTATTATTAAATATTATTAATGTTAGTTATTTTTACTATTAGTCCAACCTACAACAATTTCAAATAAAAAATAATGGTATTTAAGATAATTACAAGCTTATAATTTTAAAAAGTTTTAACATCCTGTAACTCTAAAACTATGCATTTCCATACCCATGTTTATAAGAACTTTTTTTCATATTAACATTGAAAATGTTTCTGTTATCCTATATAAGGGAGCCCAAATCGAATTAAAATGCTACATTTGCCACACCATGACGTCATATATACAAGGGTATAGGAAATCTCGGCGCAGCGGCGGCAGTCGGCCAGCGCGCGCAAAAACCATTACATCGCTAATTGTTTATTGATATATCTTTATTAGTTTAAAAGCAAAAAATATGGGGTTTGCTTTGATACCTTGTCAAGACATTAGCGAAACTTTTAAATTGTTTCTTTTTTTCATTTAGGCCTTCGTTTTTCGTTAAATGAAAGTTATATTAAAAAAAATCTATTATTAAACCAAATCTTCGCATGATTGAAATGATTATTCATGTTTAAAGTTTTTTTTGGTCATAAGCGCTAATGGAAATGTTTTTTCGTAAATAATTATAAAAAATTACTCCCTACGAAGACTTTATTGTGTACTGGATGAAAAAATAAGTATTTGTTTTCTCTATACGGTGGTATTAATATATCGATTTTTGATGATAGTGCCCTTTTATCCGGTCTAATTTTGTACTACTTTCGGAATAAGGGTCCCCATATCATGTACTGTACTTCCATCCCTGAAAAATTCAGCTTGTGACACCGAAGTGAGAGGTAACGTCAAAATACGCTTTAATCTACCTACATCATAGGTAAGTGTAGGTACTCTAGGTATATTCTACCTAGACAGTAGCTGAACTAGCTGACAGTAGTAATTAAGAAGTAATAAGTAATGTTTCCGGTGAGACCGCGTATATGTCACCGGATTCTGGTTAGTATAAAGACTTTTTCTATAGAAAGAGTTTTTTCTATATTTTCCTTTCAAAATAAGACTAATTTCTTCTTATTCTTTTAAATATTACAGTGTTTCTTTTTCCTAAAATGTTATACTTAATTTTCGCTTTAAATTAAAAAATCACAAACGGAGGAAAATATACGTTATTGAATAAAGTTTATACAAATCACTTTACCATAACAAAAAAGTAAAAACATGTCATGGCGGAAGATATTCAGGTGGCATTTCACACATTTATCTATTAAAATCGAGATTAAAATAATAAACTTGCGTAACATGTTATACACGAGATAGAAAATTTCAGAATCGATTAATACGCAATACGCTACGCAGTCAACTTATTCCTATGCGCGGATGAGCGTCTTCAAGACTCTTCCTTCGGCCAGGGTCACGACGCCGTCGAAGAGGAATCGGCCTACGTTTGGCTAAACAGGCTGGACACGGAGTACGATATTGGCGAGTCTGACTATTTATAAAAATTTGCAAAGTAAAATATGTTGGAAAAATAATTAATCCATACATATATAAAAGCTCAAAGGGTTTTTTTGTTGCATCCATCCCGCCGAAACCGCTTTACCAATCTTGATGATTCTTTTTTTAAATGAAAAGTATATATGTGTAGATTTGTTATGAAGTATTTTTATAGTGCTTAATGGCTATTTCTTTGTATAAAACGACTAAATACTAAAACATACCTGAAAAACACCTACACACAATACCTCCAGAAATAAATTATTTGTCATTGTCAGTGGTGTGTCAGTTAGATTATATATAACGTTTTTAGATATTTTAGAGTGAGTTCATGCCGCCAGCTTTACATACATAAATATTAGCACAAAGGTTCGTTTAAACGACATTAGTGAATTAGCTACACAAAGCGATTTTAGGAAATTCATCCTCTTAGAGAGTAAAATTATCTCGGAACAGTTTATTGTATGAAAATTCCTTACTATTTGGTCTAGAAGAATGAAATCCTACAAAAAGAATTAGAAGAAATTTCTGAAATTCATCAACCAAATGGGTAAAGTTAGTAAAAATTTATATAAAACTTGGTGACCTCTGGATTATACACATAAAAATTGGCACAAAGGTAAAGCGAATTTATGAAATTTATACCCTTAGGGAGTAGAATAGAGAATGAAAGTTTGCTCTACGAAAATGCAATACTATAACATTATAAACCAGACAGTATAAAATGTTATACAAGGGTTTATTTAGTGACATCATAACGAAATATATCTTCCTCAATTATCCTTCAAAGAATAAAAAATAACCTATAAAGAGAGTATTAGTGCTCTTAATAAATAAAAAAAATGAAAAATAAAAAACATCTATGCTCACTAGCTCTCTATAAAGAAGTAAAAAATCATGTAAATCAATGCATGAACGATTCGAGGTGTAACGCGAACGTAGTTGCGAGAAAAAGCTAGTAATTTATTAAATTATTTTATTTAACTCATTAATTTTCATTGAAAAGGAATTTTTGTAATTCGCCACTATATTAGTTAAAAACTAAGAAACTCATATCAAATTTAAGTTTTGCGATTTTGACTTATACTTTTTACAAAATCTGAACACATTTAAAAAAAGAAAAAAAATTTTGATAATATTTGTGTAGATTGACTACAAGTTGTATAACATAAATTTCTACGACCGGTCTACCTAGTGGTCTGCAGCATCGCCTTGTGGTGCAAACGTGGGCCTGTTAATCTGTGACGTAACGCACAACAGCCAAGAAAAAACAGAAGCGTGGCTAAGAATTTAGTAATTTAAAAAAAGTCTTTTAAATACAGTAGTAGGTATTAAAAAGTTTTGTGTTTAAATGGGGTTTGCCTTTAACAGTTAAAATTATTCGTAAAGTGTAACTTTCCGTAAGAATTCTTTTTTTTGCTTGCTTGTTTTACGGATAGGTGCGATCGCATAATTATTATTGATAATGTTTTACTTAATTTTAACATTACTACTTTTTCAGTGAATCTTTAAATCTGTTGTTTTTTGTTAAGTTTGTTATTTAAAAATATGTATGTAATACACTCATATTAACACTAATCATATTTTTACGTTTTTATTCATCATTTTCAATGCCCCCCCGGTTGCATCTTTGTAAAGGACTGTGAATTTTTTTTGAAGAGGAACCAATAAGTACTTATTTAAAACTTTCGCAAGTTATTAATGATATTGAAAAATGTTAAAGGTTGCTATCAAAGCAAATTAATAAAATTGCATTTATCTCATCAAGGAGGTCGAAATCGACAAAATATCAAGAGATAACTTTTAATCGGCATTAAACTGCTTACACTATTTCGCTAACAAGAGAAAAAAGTCAGTGGAGTACATGTTTTTTTTAGAAAAATATTCCAGTGATAACCCATATGCACGTCTCTGGATGAATATGTCGACACTATTTTAGTTTTAAAACATGTCGCATTTATAGTAACTTTTACTCTCAATATTTCATTCGAAACACTAAAAGTACTTGGAAGAAAATTATAATAAATCGAAAAATATTAAGACTAACACTCCGTAGCTACAAAACAAAGCAGAATCGGACCTATGTTGATATGAGAAATAAATCTTATTTTTACGTGAGGAATCTCCCCATGAGGGATGGCACATGTTTTTTGAAACACCCTGTAGATTGTGTTCTAGTGGACCGATTTTAATAATTTTTAAGCCAATTTTTAAAAATCAAAGAACAAACTATGTGACACAAACTTTCCTTTTATTGAAAATTTAAGTCAAAATATTGCGAAAGTATACTCTTATATCGGAGGCGGTGGTAACAAGCTTTTGCTTCTGCACTTGACTAAAAAAATGATACCCACCTATACCTTACACTGCATACCAAAGGGCGCCACTTATTTCAAAAAGATGCTAATACTTACAAAGGATAGTACAAACTGAAATAAGAAAATTGTACAAGTGTATTAATTGAATAGAAACTAAGATTAGTATAGCTATTAAATATTTTGAGAGACCGGATCAACCAATGAAACAATTCAAATACCCAAAAAAATAAGATTTATTACTTGTTAGAAATATTTGGTACCTATTCGGCACAGCAGTTATGTACATTAATATACAAGAATTATATTTAAGAAACTCTATTTTAAAACTTGTTTAAAATCAAATTATATCTTTTCAAATATTAATCAAACAATTATAATATAAAAAAAATACTTTTTAGAGACGGTCTTGGTTATATTCGAATAATAAATATTTAAATTTGACTTGACTTATTACGAAGATTCATGAACCTTTTTGTTTATATATAGTTAAAGGGAAAAAGATTAAAATCTGTACCCAAGATTGCCCTTACAGGTCAAAGATCGTAATGATATAAAAGGTTAACATAAATAGATGTTAAATCTGAATAATCAATCAATATAACATGATTATTTTAATAATCAAATACAAATAAAATTTAAGCAATGCTGAAGGCAAATACTTAAAGTGTTAAAAAAAATATAAAATATAACAGAACGTTAAATTTTATAAATTAAACGATAAAGTAATGCTGCAGGCAAGTACTTAACCAGTTAAATACAAAATGTTGTAACGTTTTTAGTTCGTTACATGTCTTTTTACATATGATATATGATGTCTGGCCTATCATCACCGGATTCCCTCTCGTTCAAGCCGGATAGTTTATTTGACGCGCAATTTTTACGTTCCCAGCTATAAGCCTAGTCAGTAGCTACGGCTGTAAGGATTTATGGTATCGCTCTGTGGGAGCGCGCGCTGTCAACATCGCTTCTGTCAATTCTCTGTGATCTAACTTCACTTTTGGTTGGACCGTTCGGCCTCTTAGACGCCATTAGTCCCAGTGTTGAGAAATGGTGGTCATTTAAATCTGGCTGTATTATCTGAATCAGCTGCCATTTCGAAGCTACAGGGTAGAGTTACGGATGTCCCAACTTGTATTTGTATTTGGCTGGCACGTTGGCGCCCCTTTGCTTTTGTCCTCCAGAATGTCATTTGGAAGAAAGGACAGATTGTTTATTATTTATTGAGCCCTCGGGAGTATTTTGAGGGTCTTACGGACGGACTATTTACAAGGTACAGGCATTATCCAAGGTCCTAGTATTCCCTTGTGCCACTGTCTTATGGACGGATGTCCCATGGACAAGTGTCCCATGTAGGATTGATTTGTCTTCACATAGAGTGCCCCAGCGTGGGTGTGGCTTGAGTCCCGTGCTGCTTCACCCCCATTTCTAAGCCTGGATCGCCGACAGACAGTGCAGAGATGCAAGACCTCCTCGCGCTGCTACTGGTTGAAGCAGGGTTGCATTAAAGAACAGCTAAGTGTAATTTTAAGTTCTAGTATCGCATTTAACACCTAAAATGTTTTAGTCTTAAACAGTAACGTACATTTAAACTATAGCGTACAGACTATATTTAGTGGTTAGATTATTAAGAATATTTATGTCAATGCAGTAGTAAAAGTGTGATTTAGATTTTAGATTTCATAATATCACGCATTGTAATGGTATTACTTTCTATAGACATCATTATTACGCTATACTAATAGATGAATGACGAGATAGATTCTAGAATCTACAGGTTGCAACACATCTGATTGAACACCGTATAAATTTAACAATTTAAATAAAGTAATGCTACTTTTCTTATATTTTCTCTAATGTTACACGCATTGTATTTTCCTTATAGTCTTTACATAGAACGTTTTAATATTATTTACATATATAGTTTTATTCAACAGGTAACCACTATAATAATTATTAAAATTGTACAATGCTATTCACCATCAGAATTCGTCACGAATAAATATAGTCATTAGTTTTAAGTATTATACAATTGTGTTTTCTTTCTCTGTACATGCCTGGCGCCCAATATCTAGATATCTTTTGTTTATTATTATTGATTAATTTTCTCTCTAGTGAAATACCTTATCCACGACTGCTCTCCGATGAAAAGCTGCCGTTCGCAGTGGTAGTTGTTTTAAAAAACGCTACAATGTTAAGAATAGTTAATTTCTTAACACACTAATGATTATTTAAAATCAAATTAATAAAAGTTTAGTTTACTAAATATACTGGCCTTGTATACCAAATTAGACTAAAAAAGGATCATCTTAATGATAAAAAAAACATCACAGCATCCACCTTCTCCTCAGAGGGGTGCAGGGCTGAAATCTAACTGAACAGGCTGCTACTGATTACTTCGGTGACTGAGCACGTAAGAAAAACTTATGGAAAAACTTGGCACAAACTTCTAGCAAAATATGCAGAAAAACATCTAGAAATACTTGAAGAAAAATACGTGGAAAAATGCTGAGAAAAATACGTAGAAAAATCTGTAGAAAAACCTAAAAAGAAATGCACAGTATTAGTTAACCTTACATTTTAAAAAACTCGAAAAATTTACGAAGGTATTAATTTACCTCATTGTGAAGGCACACGATCAATAATTATTTAACATTTCTTCTCAAATAAGGGCTGGACACTTCTCATCAAAAAAACTGGAATCTAAAAGAAAGGCATGTGAAGGTTTTTTCTACCGAATGGAATATCAAGGAAAATCTTACCAAAACTATAGATCCACTAAAATCTCAATAATCAAAAGCTATATGGGATCTCCATCCATCTATGGGACAACAAAATCACAATATTTTTCCCATATTGTGAAAACTACTAGCCAAATAAATTTAATTCTCAAAATGGCACAGTGACCTCGGTAGCGGCCAAATCCGAGGTGGCGATTTTGACGTTTCCCGTCTTGTCGATACACCAGCGGTGGGATTCTGTAAGCTCCGTAGCAAGAAATTTCCTGTCTAGCCTATGCTATTTGTATACGATTGATGAGTCACTAGACAGGAAATATGTTTAAAGAATCGCTAGCCAGGGTACGATCCAATATTTTCGATAGAGAGCGTTCCGAAATTTAAGTGTTGTATCGATACAATAATAAAATACCGTCTATAATAAAACAAAGTAGCATTTGGAAAATGAAAATGCTACAACTATCGGAAAAGCGGACCTATGATAACATTATTTTTAGATTCCTTATTTTGTTAACGTACTCCACAGGGTGTTTCACACTTTCATTAAAATATCAACATTTTATTTTTCCTCGTATAATTGACAGATGGAAACCTTCATTTTTAATTTAGGAAAAAATACTAAAAATTCAAATAATTTAGCTACAAATTGCTTAAAAAATCATCAAAATCGGTCCATTAAAACGAAATATATTAAATTTTACAATACATCAAAATTGTGCCCGTTTTTCGTGCCGGTGAGTGTATTTTGAGCGGCTTTTTTTATTTTTGACTTACAGATTATATGGGAGATGACTCATTATAACTCATCATACAGTCTCAGGGCTTTGACAAAAGCCAGTGTCTGAGACGGTTTTACATAGGTTAGTTCTCCATCTTCGATATCAATCGTACCAAAGTTTATTGCACGAATGGTTGTTGTCTCGGCGCACTCAGTTCTGGTACTTTCCCATTTTCCTCACAAAATCTGCAGTACCTTTGTTTCTTAACTTTAGTCTACTAAGGTGGTCATTGAGGAGACAGTGTCCTGTTAAAAAAGCCGTCACAATCCGAAGATTGTTTTTACTTAAATCTAAAGTTTGTTTTTTCTGGGTTGTAAGTTGCAGTCTTCGAATGTCTTAGACCGTTGGAGGATTCCCATTCCAGGTTACGGATGGAGTAAAAAGGATTGGAAGAAAGAAACGCTTACTCAGTATATAAAAGACCATACTATCACGTGGTATACTGATGCTTCCAAAACCAAAGCAGGGACAGGGATAGGAGTATTTGGGCCGAAAACTGAATACTCCGAACCAATGGGCACCTACCCCAGTATCCTTCAGGCAGAAATTTGCGCTATCGAAAGATGCGTACAATTTATCTTAGATAGGAGCTATCGAAAACAGGAAATTGCCATCCTATCCGATAGTCAAGCAGCACTTAATTCGAAGTTGGTCAAAGAATGCCTAGAGAAGCTCAACAAATTAGGCAAAGAAAATAAAGTCCTCCTACTCTCGGTGCCTGCTCACCAAGGGATAGAAGGCAATGAAAAAGCAAATGATCTAGCTAGAAAAGGAGCGAACACTCCACTAACTGGACCAGAACCGTTCTATTTTCCAAACGGGAACCAACTGAAAGCGGAACTGAAGAATCTTGAAGACTCCATCCGTAACTTGGAATGGGTGTCCTCCAACGGTCTAAGACACTCGAAAAAGTTCCTTAGAACTTATGACCGAGAAAAATCAAAGGTTTTCCTTGATTTAAGTAAAAACAATCTTCGGATTGTCACGGGGTTTCTAACAGGACACTGTCTCCTCAACGAACACCTCAGTAGGCTGAAAATGAGAAACAACGGCGAATGCAGATTTTGTGGGGAAAATGGGGAAACACCAGAACACCTTATCACTGAGTGCGCCGAGACGACGACCATTCGTGCCATGAATCTTGGTACGTGTGATGTCGAGGATGGAGAGCTGGCTCTCGTGGAGTCGTCTCAGATACTGGCTTTTCTTAAAGCCCTGAGACTGTATGATGAGTTATAACTCGTTATAACTCAAGAAAGGGGAACACACAATAGATCTATAAGGTCGCGGTGATTAACTCCCCTCCTAAACATTCTACATTCTACATTCTACGGATGGAGTATTCCAAGTTCTTGAGTTCTGCTTTAATTTGGTTGCTGCTTTGGAAGCAGAACTATTTCCAAAAAGATTCATTTAAGTGAGTGTTCGCTCCTTTCCTAGATAGATCGTTTTTTTAATTATTATATATTTTAATTAATCTCTTGGTGTGCTGGCACCCAGAGTAGAAGAACTTTATTTTCTTTGCCTAATTCGTTGTTCAACTTCTCTAAGTATTCTTTGGCTAACTTCGAATTGATAGTTACTGAGTTGATCGCTCTTAATACTGCTTGACTATAAGAATAGGGTAAGATTGCTATTTCTTGTTTCCGAGAGTACAACCTACTACAACCTATCTAAGATGAATTGTCGCATCTTTTCATAGCGTAGATTTTTCCAGAAAGATGCCGGGGTAGGACTCATTGACTCCGATGTATTTAGTTTTCAGCCCTATATTTTTGACTTAGTTTATAAAAAAATATTCCCCTTATATACTTTCTTAATAATTTTATATTTATTTTCTCTAAAATTTCGCAAATTATTTTTTAAAAGTTAAAAAGTATAGGCATCAATTTATATTTAACTTCATATTCTGAATGAGAAAACTATATTATATTATCAACTAGCCAAAATCTGATTCCAAAGAATCATCAACCGAGATGGAAAAGATTTCCATAATTTTCACTTTGAAAAACCAAGTAGGAGGATTGGTTAGAGCGCTTCAAGCTTTCCAGGATCTCGGAATCAGCGTGCTGCACATCGAATCCAGACCTGGTCAGGCCGGAGACAGCCAGGTGGATTTTTTGGTGGACATTGAAACGGATACCAAGAAGCTGGAACAATTGGGACGGATGCTAAAGGTAGATATAATAGTACAGTTAGAAATTAAATATATTTTTTAAAATTCTAATAAAAATATTCCCTTAATTATAATAATAAAGATAACATTTTTTGCTATAAGGAGTTCTCAAGATTGTCAATACTTTGAACGCCTAATAATTTCTAAAATAATTTTTAAATACACACACCGGAAAAATCTAGGGATATCAGTTTATTTAAGTTAAAAATAAATGTTTTGAATAAAGAACCACATATTTGTAGGCCGATTCTTTCTACTTCGATTGAAACGAAGTAGTCACACTAGTTATTTCTAAATTTGGGATATTTGCAGAAGTGTTTGTGCATTTTTTGTCAAATTTATAAAAAGCACCTAGCATCAATTGTTCGAATTTAACCTGTACTGGCTATGTTTTTATGATAACTGGCCAGAATTCATTCAAATAACTCTGTTTAGTATTAAACGACATTATGGAGCGTAGACATCTTAACAGAGACGAAATGCTAAGGGCCATGGTTATGCTCGAAGCTGGAATGCGCCAAATCGACGTAGCTAGAGTATTAAATACAACGCAAAGTGTAATATCGCGATTAAGTGTACGCTACCGTGAAAGTGGTGATGTTGCTGAAAGGCACACAGGGCGACATCGCATTACTACCCCTCAGCAAGATAATTTTTTACAATTAAATGCTCGACGCCGACCGACTCTTACAGCACCAGAGCTTAGTTTAATTCTCCAGGAAACACATAATGTAACCGTTAGTCCTGACACTGTTCGCAATTGATTAAGAGAGGTCAACTTAAGAAGCAGACGCCCCTGGAAAGCTCAACCCTTAACGAGAGGAAATCGAGAGGTACGATATTTGTGGGCTCAAGATCATGTTCAGTGGTCGAATGAACAATGGGCAAATGTTCTCTTCACGGATGAGTCACGCTTTGGAATTCATCCGGATTCGAGAAGGCTTAGAATATGGAGAGTACCGGGAAATCTTATTCGGTTGGATCATGTTCAGGAAGTGCACCCTTATCAAGCTGGAACAGTTATGGTCTGGGGAGGAGTCCAGTTAGGCCGAAAAACCGATCTCGTTTTTCTTGAAAGGTTTCTAACAGGAATCACATATCGTGATTTAATTCTTGAGCCTGTCGTGTTACCATATCCCAATGATTTCGGGAGAAACTTCATTCTCATGCATGACAATGCACGGCCTCATACAGCCAGCGTGGTAAGTGAGTTTATCAATGCTCATCAATTAAACATCTTACCCTGGCCGGCACAATCTCCTGACCTCAACCCCATCGAGCACGTATGGGACGCGGTCCAAAGAAGAATTTTGAGAATGGGTATGTCTCGTGAAACTCGTAGGGATCTGGTTCGGGCCGTGAATGCAGCGTGGCAGGCTGTACCTCAAGAAGAGATCGACAATCTGATCAGGAGCATGGAGAGACGATGTAGGGCTGTAATGAACAGTAGAGGAGGCCATACCCTTTATTAAGTAAAAATGGTTTTATCTTTTTTTTTTAATCCACAGTTTAGAATTAAAAAAAATGTGTGTATTTTTTTGAGTTCAATAAAAATATAGGTAAATTTGAAAAATTCGGTAAATTTCGCATTTTTATTTCCAATACGTCCTGTAAACTATTTGTTTATTTTAATTTTATTATATCAGAAAAGCAAATAATAAAATTACTGACGATGGCTGGATAAAATTGTAATATTCCTAGACTTTTCCGGTGTGTGTATATTAAAATGTGTTTAGCTTTTTATTAACATCAATATTGTTTATTTCATAATAAATAGTTTATTTAAATTTGGATTGACAATTAAAAATGTACGTAGAGGGAAGTTCTGACAATGGTTATTGGATCTTATGGAAATGGAATTGAAGAATTCCCACCTCCTACGCCACTGAGTGCTACAACCAGTTTTGGTAAGTTTTTTGAAACCAAAATTTGTATTGAAACATAATTAGTAGTCTTTAGAACATAGAACTTTGTCCAATGAGAGAGAGAGCAGATTTTGACAGTCGACATAAAATGGCAGTATTTTCATTGCTGTAGAGACTGTAGAGACTCCCTTATGTGACATTTAAAAAGAATCTTCTTCACAAACTTTTGTATGTCACTTTTAATTCAATTTAAATCAATAAAATTAACTTCAAAGTAAAATTTCATCTTAAAAATAAATAAAAAATCACATCGAGAAATTATCTGATGAAATAAATACAGACACTACTGTAGATGGTGGGGGCAGCATAAATTACTTAAATTTATTTTTATTAATATATCTACCTATTATCATTAACAATTACTATTCTCCAAAAAAGTCCTATAGGTATTTCGCCACTGTAAGAAAATCTACAAAATAAAATAGTTATTTCTTGTAAACACCGCTGCTTTTATTCAACGGGGATTAAGTAGGTATAGTCTATAAAATGAATAACTTTGAATTTTGACCGTTATTTTTTACCAACATGGCAAATATAAAATCCCTCTGTCAAAAAAGTTACTGATATTCTTTAAATCGAGTGCCTGAACGAATCAGATAGGTAACTCTTTTTACTTTCGTGAAATAGAAAAGGAAAATAATAAAACAAGTAGCAGTTCTTACTCTTGCAAAAATCAACACGAAATGTCATAATTGTCAAAAGTAAACTGTCATCAGCTTTTGACATTTCTAATTATCAGATCAATGCCGTCTTAAATCGAACAGCCTCGGAGCCAGATTTATAACGTCACGCTAGTTAGATACTACGGATTAATAAATATGTTGTAGAATACATGCAAAACATAATTATACCTCGTATTTTTAGTTATACTAAAACGTTTTTTTAAACCAAAAAAAATAATAAAAAACCAAATGAAAACAGCGTTTTTATAATAATAATCAGCGTTTTTCCCGAACCTAAATTCCAAGAAAATCAAAAATTTTAGAATCATTTTACATATAAAATGACAGCGATGTTTATTTCATAGCCATCGCTGGCGCCTTTTTTCTATGATATTGTATTATTTGCAAATATAATTTTCCGAACATTGATACTTGCAAAATATACATATAAATTTTATGAATGCAAATAATAATACATCACTATTACTAATAGTGATGTTACTACTTACTAATAGTGATATTGAATGTTTTCTGTTAAATTAGATCGATTTTCAAACCCCAAAATTTAAAATATATTTTACATTTTACCCATTATCTTATGTACCTATTCATTATTTGTATATTGTAAAACATTTGCTGCATTTGTATGGTTCATAGTTTATTTGCCAAAGTTATTTATTACTATAAATAGGTATATATATATTGTATTTATTAACTGTATATTATGTATATTTCATGTAAACTATGTATATCATTTTTAAAATAGAAACCAAAAATACGAGGAGTAATTATGTTTTCCATGTATTCTACAACATATTTATTAATCTGTAGTATCTAACTAGCGCGACGTCATAAATCTCGCTCCGAGGCTGTTCTATTAGAGACGGCATTGCGTCAGCATGGCTGCAAGTTGCTAACCTAATAAAATTAACACTAGAAAGCCCGCGGGAACTGTCAAATTCAAAGTTATTCGTTTCACAGACTATAGTAGTGGTTTACTAATAAACAAATTTGCCTAACGGACAATAAGATGCTTAACGTTTCGGAAAGTATATCTCTTTCCGTCGTCGGAAGCCAAAAAACACAAATAACAAATAAAAAAAAACTATTTAAAATATCTGAATCCAACTATTCAGTGGCGAAATCCCCATAGGACTTGTTTAAGAGATGAATCTGCCACAGCAGAGGTATAGACATTTTTTAACAATTACTGTATTTTAACATTTATTTCTTGTTTTATTTGTGTTATTAATTCATTATTTATTATCATTATAGGTAATATTTTTTGAAGGTTTCAATAGAAATTTCAGATATGGCTTCAATATAACGCCCAAACATCAATAAAAATCTATTTGTTCGCTGTTTATTAGCATCGTATATCCAGCAAAATCATACTCAGGCTCAAAAATAAATTAAATATTTTTTATGAATCATTAAGCTACTAGAGTGGTAATCATTCATAATTACTAATAAAAACTTTATATGTATTTTATGTAATTATTGAATGGTAGCTTTATATCTTTATCCAGGCATATACAGGGTTGTTCACCACATACAACACGGAGTATTGTAGCTAAACGATTAGATTTTTACAAATTGTAAGTTTTGGGTTCGTTGAAGGACTATTAGAGCTACAATTTAAAAATATTTTTACAAGATACAGAGAGTCCCAAATAAGTAAAAAAATATTATAGTTGTATTTTTTTTAAATGGAACACCCTATATATTATTCTATTTTTAGATTCTACATTTGAAATAAAGGTAAATTTGATTAAGGTTTATCACCACACTTAAACCTTACCGTTTTTGAAATATTTAGGTTTTTGTCAAAATACAGTAATAATTTTAATGCTTCATTTGTCTAAGCCTATTTAAGTTTTTAAAACCAATATTGTACTGAAGTATTTCTATTTACTGAATTTTGTGTTGCAATAATAAAAATTATACTACCTTATACAGAGTGTCTAGAAATTTATTTTAAATAATTACTAGCTGTAAACGGTAATAACTTGTTTAATTTAAATAGAACACCCTGTATACTTTACGAGAATCAGATGCACAACTTGTATAAACAAATTGTTTATCAAATTGTATTATGCCATTTTTCCTATCTCTTCAAATTTCCGTAGAAAATACATTTTCTTGTAATTTAGAACTCATTTATTAATATACCCATGGAATACTGACATTTTAGATTATTTTTAAAGATGTACCAAATTGTTAAAGAGTACAGATACTAATATTGTCGATATAGTTCGTTTATTTTATTAAAAAAACTAAAAAAAACTGTTTAAATATTTGTTAGAGGACCAATTAATATGATTCCAGTATTCAAACTAGATTAATTGACTGTTTGCGTTGATTAATAATAATTGCTCGAAATACTAAAAAACTGAATTTTGTATGTGTATTAGACATTGTGGTAAAAAGTAACACTTTAAAAATTATATTTTGTTTTTTGATAAATGCTTATTTATAACAACAGAGACGTTCATTTTCATAACTTATTATTATGTTGATTTCTGAATCAAATCCTCATTTATTTAGAATAATTTATTAACGAACACAATTAAGTATGTAATTAATTAGTATTTGAGCGGAAATAATAGGTGGTATAGTTAATTAATGGTATACTCTTTTATAAAGATTTAAATAGTTTTCTTTTTGCATACAAATGGGCTAGTATTGCTAAAAACGATAATATTACTAGTCTGTACATTTTGTACATTTGTTGCTTTAAAAACAATCTAAAATGTCAATATTTCATGGGTATATTGATAAATGAGGTCTAAATTATAAGAAAATGCATTTTTTTTGCAAGGGATACGTAAAAATGGTATAATACAATTTGATAGACAATTAAATTGTGCATCTCAGTCTCCTAAAATATACAAGGCGTTCCATTTAAATTAAACACACAAGCCGTTTAAAGCTAGAAACTATTTAAAATAAATTTTTAGACACTCTGTATGAGGTAGTATTATTTTTATTATTGCAACACAATAACTGAGCAATAAATAAACTTCAGTAAATATTTAGTATTAAAAACTTTGATACCCTTGGAGAAATCAAGCCTTAAAATTTTTGCTGCAGTTTCACAAAATTAAAAATATTTTAAAAACGGTAAGGTTTAAGTGTAATAAACCTTAATCAAATATACATTTATTTTAATCGTAGAAACTAAAAATGTAATAATATACAGGGTGTTCTATTTAAAAAAATACAACTTTGATATTTTTTATTTATTTGGGTTTTGGGAAACTCTGTATCTTGTAAAAATATTTTTAAATTGTAGCTCTAATAGTCCTTCAACAAACCCAAAATTTACAATTCGTAAAAATCTAATCATTTAGCTACAATACTCCGTGTCGTATATGGTGAACAACCCTGTATAATATACAGATATATCATCAAATCAAAAATAATATAAGAAAAAATCTCAATCTTTTTCAAAAAGGAATAATCTCCCAAATTTGATTTTTTTATTTAATTACACTCAGATGCAGAAAAAAACGCAACAATTTTTTTGTCAAGTTTAAAGTTTTATATTTTTCTTACTTTTAGTCCTATTTTCGTAAATTTTTTAGCATACTGTATTATAAATATGTCAACTTTAATTCATAAACTCAGTTTTTTATAAACTTTAGTATTTGGCTTATCATACAGACTTAATTGAAGGGTTGTTTTTCACCGTAACTTTAAAACACCCTGTGCAATGAATTTCGTGAGTAACTTTTCCTAAAACATTACTTTTCGATCAGAACCATGTCTCCTGAGCATTTTGTTTTTTGACTCATGTCAACACATGCGTTGGTTAATTTTTAAGAGCGAAATGAACTTGCCACCAACAATTTGCAATTTTTTCAACTATTATTAAGGTTGTCGCCCACTAGAACGCGGCGCGGCGCGGCGCTGGGAAGAGATTTTTTCCGGCTGCGAAGGGACTGCGCCCACTATAGCGCGCTTTTGAAACGCGGAAACGCTATTTCGTTAGTCGAAGTGTTTTTTACTTACTGTAGTTTAGTTTTTAAAGCAATGAGTTCAAATACGAACGAAAGCGTATTTTTTGTGCTCTTCTAACAGAGGAAGAGGAAGAGCAAGTTTGGACTCATAAGATTAACAAAAAAAGAAAGAAGTTTGGAGAATTTTACCATCTTTTTCCTGATTTAATAAAAGACAAGAGCATTTTTTTCAGTATTACATAATGTAAAGGAAACATTTTACGAACTCCTCAATTAAGGGTTTTAGAAGCATAACACCGGGTATCTCTACTCATCATATTTTTTCAGAAGAGACAAATTACTAATGATGCAATAATGA